GAGGTAGATAGATATAGAGGTAGATAGATATAGAGGTAGATAGATATAGAGGTAGATAGATATAGAGGTAGATAGATATAGAGGTAGATAGATATAGAGGTAGATAGATATAGAGGTAGATAGATATAGAGGTAGATAGATATAGAGGTAGATAGATATAGAGGTAGATAGATAGATAGATATATGTACAGGCAGGAGGACCTCCCATAAATCTATGCGAATATAGCAATGGCACCTATTGCTCTGTAACACCCTCCCCCTATAAAATTATGATTTCATAAAGATAAAATATTTATCAAATGCTCATGTAGACTGTATACTAAGACAAAAAAGGGGGGAATATGCATCAGTCATGTTATCGATGCCTGACAAAACTTGACCAAAGGCGGACGTACCTTTCAAGTTGTGTCAGTTCCGCCAGCTGAAGAGAAACAAAACAGTCTATGGAGGATCCTGTGATCTTGCAGTGAAAGTGAGGCTTATTAAGACACCTTCATATGAATAGAATACTTTATATAGCTTCCTACAAGTGTACAATGAGTCTATGTAGATGCATATATAATAAAGTGTGTGTAGAGAAAAAAAAACATTGTACATATTTCGACAGCTACCTGTACGTCTACAATGATAAAGTCTCTGTAGATACATATATGTATATTTAACTTACTATTAGCATTTATATAGTGCCCACATATTGCACAGCGCTTTATAAAATGGGGACATTTTACATAAAATTAGAAGACCAGAGGTGAAGAAGGCCCTGCTCAAAGGACACTACACAAGAAATCAATATAAAGACAGAGAGAACTTCCTGTATATGGCTAGATACCTATAGATGTATACTGAGCAGATTCTGGCAGTGGGAGTCAGTAGATATATTTAGAGAAAGCTGTCTATATAGGGACTGTTACTTCCAGCTGTACACTGAGAAGTCTGGCAGAGGGTGTTTGTATATGTAGAGAGAGAACTTCATATATATGGACAGCCACCGATAGATGAAAAATAGATTTCCATATACAGACAGCTCTCTGTATACACCTACCTATAGATATACAATGAGCAGGCTCTGTGAGAGGGGCTCAGTCAGTAGGAGTCTATGTACAGACAGCTCTCTATAGATGATCATGTACATTGTGCCGTTTGTAGCTGTATATAGGAATCTGTATATATAGCTATAGGCACTGTCTATACATGGAGAGCACTCAGTGTGGTTTTAGGTGGCTGTTGGGAGCGCAGTGCTTGAAGCAGTTCAGCAAACTATCCCTATGTTGAGCTAGCTATGGCTTGCAGCCGGGGAGGAGGAGGACACAAAGGGCGGGTTGTACCGTGGATCACAGTCTGATGCGCTATGGTTTGGCTTCTGACAACTCGAGGATCTGGAGAGGCTGGCGGGTCTCCAGTGATGCGCGTGGCTTCAACAAGGGGCGTTCCGCCATGGTTTGAGCTAGGTGGCTTTCACTCGGTGGGCAGGGCATTGGCTGGGCATGGCGTCCTGTGCTGGTGAAGTGATTTGTGCTGGGGGAAAAGGGAGGGGCGGGTTTATTTGCAAGAGCGCTGACGCTCAAAGGAATGGCAGATTGGCACGCTGGGAGAGTAAATATTTCCAGGCACATAGAGGAGCATGGGACATATACGGATAGCATCAGAGCACATTCTTTAGGAATTTAGCAGTGCAGGCCTTTGCTCATGGAATGCTTAATATCCAAGGTGAACCACAGAAGTTGAATTGAACTAGTGGGAGCCATTTCATATTTTTTTTTATGACCCATCCATGTCTAGTTAGTAAGTTTGTCGCAGTTCTTATATCCATTAAGAGCTGTTCTCCTAAAGTAGCTATAAGAAGCCAATCGTCCAAGTAGGATACTATACTGAGACCAACTTTCCTTAGTTGCAGTGTAATAATCACCAGTATTTTTGTAATGACCCTTGGAGCTGAGGAGAGGTCAAATGCAAGAGCCCTGAACTGAAAATGGAAAAGATGCTTTCAATCTTTTATTGAAAACCTCAGAATTTTCTGCTTTCTTCTGCGATCTTTTTTGCCAAAGGCAGTCAAAAAATTCAGGTCTTGGTGGTATCGGCCTAAGTTATACCAAAGGAAGGAGAATTATAGGTAGTAGGCACCAGATTTTTAGGTGTCTGCCAGCTTTTTCTGGTCCAAATTAGAGGATATCCTGGTTGTAGTGCACTAACTCTAATCTGGAGGAGTAAGAGAAAAAAAAAAAAAAAAACACCTGTGTTAAAGGAGCTTATGCATTTCTTTTCCTACCTTAAAGAGTCAGGCATCTGAGCTTGATACCATCGATTTATGTCAAACACTCCTAAATAAATGTTAGATCTGTTTTGTCCATAACAGTGCACTTGCCAGCCGAAGATGGATATGCTTGTCTCAGGTGATGTGACTGGAAAAAACATGAAAATAAATGGAATATAAAAGGTTTAATTTCTAAGCCAACTCCATGCCCTAAAAACCCAACAATCTGACTTTCTACATGAAACCATAATTCTAGGTTAGGAATTCTCTTCTTCCAGCATACAGCAAGACAGCCACTAACTAAAAAAGCCAGATATAACTCCAAATGGTTTCTGATGTGTAAGGATAGCGGACACCAGAGTGAGGCACTTTTTGTCAAAAGCTAGGTCCTTAGGAGATACTACATCTTTACTGTATTGTCTACAAAAAACTTTAAGGACACTGGCCAGTTGCAGCACAGCATATTTGGTCAGATATATGTCTGAAAAATTTGATATAGCATAACTTAAATTCAAAGCATAACCCCTACAGCCTGCTGTAGTAGTTAAAGGGACACTGCAGGCACTTAATTTAATTTAATTGAAGTTGTCCTAGTGCCTGTAGTCCTGCCCCATCCAGTCTTACCCCTGAAAACCATTTAGTTCACTATAGGGATTGGAAGCATGACTCCAAGCCTTCTGGGTATAAGAATCAGGAATTGTACATCGGAATCTCATACCATAACATACTGCGAAGTCAATAGAAATGACAAAAAAAAAAAACATACTGTGAAGTCTTGCGCACATTTGCAGTGCAGTCACGGTCGACCATAGAAAATCATTCTATTTAATGGTACTTTATGGCAGAAACTTAGGCACATTACGGCAAGCACTCGCCCAAAGTGATATGCAAAATAATGAAACCATTTCCTTGCCTGGCCTTGGTCCACAATGGGTGTTGTCACAACGTACTTGACAGGTCTCTTAGAAAACAGAAAGCTTACATCTCATATTTGGTACACCAAATTTTTTGTACTTGTGCCAGGCAAATAGCCTAAATGGTTCACAATATCAAAAGTCAAAATATCAAAATATTTTGAAAATGAACTATTTCTCAAAAATAATATTTTTCCCAATGTTTGTTAAATCTACGTGACCAAAGTCAAAAGTTTAAAGCAGTATTGTCACCGCCTGTGTACTATGCAGAATCTACAAAGGCACCCGACAGTGACATTGCCGCTGGGGTCATATAAGTTATAAGATCATTAATTACTTAGAACTACTGTCCCAAAAATAAGTCTAAATACAACTGACAGGGGTTTAAAATTAAATGGCTTTGGATATCAACGTGCTACTGGGTAGTGAACACTATATACATTACAAATAAATCATGACTGGTAGAGAATATTAAAAATATTAATGACGTACCAGCATGCTTAATTTAAGTAGTGTGTTTTGTTTTTTTACCTTTGGCCTTTCACGGTGGCTGGGTAGTAAGATTGTGAATGTGTTAATGTTTGGTGGTATTCTTGTTTTAAACTTGTGCTAAAAAAGCGCTGTGCCCAAGCCGACCCTGGAAGCTTAATGTCTCTGAGTAGAAACCAAACCTCTCGGTGATATCTCCCACAGGGACATTGTGGATACATAATTCTCACCTTTGTCTGCTATTTAGTGTCTGAATAAAGCCCAAAAACAATGCTAGTGTCTGGTATGGATTTTAGTGAGGAAACTTATGCTAGCATGGACTCACAAGTGTCAAAGTAAATGGATGATTCAATTGTTAAAAGGAGAGTCTTCAGTTTCACCATTTTGCTTAAAGCTGCCATTTTTTAAGGGTATACTTTGGAATTTTGCAGACACAGAACTTCTATTTTTTTTTGCTTACCTCTATCGGTCACATGTGTTTATATCAGTTTTTCTGCCCTTGTGTGAATCTGCAGAAAAGTTAGTTAAGGATGCTTTCTGTACAGAACATCCTTGCTAGACCAAACATCCAGGAAGATTTTTGCTTATGCTAGATTATAATTAATCATGTAGGTTTCATTGTTTAGAAATCATTGTTATCCATACTT